GTTTAAACAGCTTTTATCTCCTAATAGATTTTAGTTTTGTCTAGGGCTGCTACGATTAATAAACGATTAATCGATTATTAAATTAGTCATCGATTATTTTAATAATCAATTAGTTGTTGATTAATCGTAGCAGCCCTAGACAAAACTAAAATCTATTAGGAGATAAAAGCTGTTTAAACAGCTCAAAGTCAGTTTCAGATTCACACCACAGTTTGATTAAATGACCCAACAATGCCACCTAGCAGAAACAGACAGAAGGCTGGAGTTACTTTGGTTTAAAAAATATGATTATTTAATCACTAAGGCATGAGTTTTATTACACTAAAACTGGAAAAAACATAATCTTAAAAGATTTAAAACTGCTGAAGCTCAAAGTTTTAAAGGTTAGCGAAGTATAGAAATCAAAAAATATAAATGAATTTGCTGTTTTAATAGCTAAATTGTTATCATTGCATGCAATAAATGGACTTTAACGAATGTATATAATGTTATTTAAACCTGGAAGAAAATATTTAAGTCAAGAAATTTCAGAAAAAGTTTTGAGAACTTCTTATAAAATGATTTAATGTATATTAGACAGCTTTTAAAAGGCAGTTACAGCTGTAGAGTGCCACCACTTAATGTTTTGCTTACAAAAGGAAAACACTTTCTTGATCTTTTTAAAGCAGTTTTGAGTGACGGTTGTTCAGACTTTCTGCAGGTCTAATTAAAAAAAATGAACCTTGAGTCTGTTTTTATCCTAATTTTAAGCTTTTATCTTTTAAAAAAAAATTTTAATTGTTTTTTTATGCCTTTATACAGACACGTGCCTCTTTTTTAAACGTGTCTTAATCAGCGTGGGGACAAACGTTTAACAAATAACCTTTTATTGGTGGTGTTTGTGTGTGTTTGTGTACCTCCGGAGTGGTATTCACGAAAACATCTCTTCCCTGGATGACGTTAACCATTATGTTGTCTTTCACTTTCTGAAACTCTTCAGCAGTCAGCTGAATGGACTCCAGCTCTGTTCCGCAGCACCTACATTTTCCCCTAAACACACWCGCAGACTTGTAAAAAATAAAAATCAACACAGATTACGAGTAATTAGGTGCTCAAATCTAGGAAGTGTGTTTACTTTGCAGTGACGGTGGTCCAGGCTCCTGTCCAGTTCTGTCCTGCGAGACTGAAGACAGGAAGGAGCAAAGGGAAATAAAAATACTAAACAGATGGTAGATTGTTAAATCAGTAATCCAGCACTGCAGYACTTTAAATTATAAATTCTAATATAAACATCTGCATCTTTATCTCGCCTCTCAAACCAGGTCTTGATCTTGTGGGCGAGGCTGAGCTGAGGGTAGATCTGGTTGTTTCTCATGTAAAGTAGAATCCCCTGCAGCCGCTCCTGCTGCTCAGTCTCCTGAACGACTTCTCCCTCGTTGGTCTTCTTCGGGCACGCGAACAGAGCCTCCCAGGTGTACGGAAGTGGAGTCTTCCCACTCTTAATCAATTCGTCATAAAGAGCCCAGGCCATGGTCGCATCACCGTTTTGATATGCCGCGATGATGACGTCACCATAGTTGCCCAGGGTCGGGGTGAAAACCTTTCGATAGCAGAGGTTTATAGTAACTAAGTACATTTACTTTGTTACAGTACTTAAGTAGTTTTTTTGAGGATTTATAGTTTTACCAATATTTTTTTTAAATAGCTACTTTTACTTTTATTTTGTTATATTTTAAAGCTAAAAATTATATTTTTACTTCTTCACTTTAAAGTGCCGCTGACATCAATATTTGTAATAAATATGAATGTATTTTTGAAAAGATAACATTGATAACATACTGCAAAAAAGATTTCACACAGCTGAGATGAAAAGTTGTTGAGATATTTGAATGTTCAGAAACAGGAAGTGATGTCAAAGGGGAATGTCTGAAAGCAAACAGAGCATGGCTACTATGGCTAACAACGGCTAACAACACAGACTGTAGAGAAGAATCTGATGTTTCTTTAGATTATTTTAATCACTGTTATAGAGAGATGAGAAAGAGTCGTAGTTCAAATAATATTGTTTAAAAAAAAAAACAGGGAGTTGTCTTTCTCAAAGAGTTCCCCTTTGATGTCACTTCCTGTTTCGTTTTAGCTGAGCCAAATTCAAAAGAAAATAGGCCAGTCATGTGACATAATGGGTACAATCATGTGTATTATGCCAAGTTCCTTAAATATAAATATATTTTCTTTGACTTTTTGTATTTCATGGACATGCATGTCACAGGCACTTTAAAATGTAACACCTAGTTACTCGTTACAAAATTAAATCTGTCTGAACCCATGAAAGATGTTTTTGCACTCTAAAAAATGAAGTGTTGAATTTACGTAAAAAAAAGTCATGTCAAATGGCTCCACTGAGCCTAGTTGAGCAAAATGAACAAAGAATATACATATATTGCTCACTTTACTCAACCTGGTTCAGTGGAACCAGTTTGCTTCAGTAAATTCAACAGTGTGTTTTTAGGTAATGTGTAAAAGTACTTTTACTTTCCCAGTTTTTGTGAACAGTTTTATGACTTTTACTTGAGTAGTTTTCTCATCGGTGAAATTTATTTTTACCAAAGTCATTTTCTGTTCATGTAATTTTACTTTTACTAAGTTATTTTGTTCAAGTACTTTATAGACCTCTGTTTGATAGCAATAAAAATCAGGCTAGGATGTAGAAAATGTGCAGCTCTATTTTTTAACCAGCACGTATTTTTTTTTACCTCCTTGACTTCCTGGAAGATTTTGATGGCCTCCTTCCACCGTTCCGTCCTGCTGAAGGACTTGATAAAAAGGCTGGAAGCTCCTGTTTCCAGCAAGGGGAAACATCTACGCATGATGTTGTAGACCTCAAACACCTCATCGTCGTGGCCTCCATTCACACACAGGTGCAGATAATGCAGGAGCAGCTTGTAAGGCAGAGTGCCTGTTTCCACCGCAACAAAACTCAGCAGGGATCTGGGACAGTAAGAAACCATGAGGCAAATTACGGCTATTTATCTTTAAAATACACTACACTGTGTATAAATTCTGCTCACTGAAAAGAAAGCGGGTCAACTTAACAAGTATCACACAAAGTGTCAAACACTCGTGTTTCTTTTACTTAGCAATATCCAGTTCTGATCCAAACTTGAACATTGCAATCGCCATTTGGAGCTCAAATTTATTTGAATTCCCCAGAGACTCCTTCAGGTCCCTCCACTCAGCAGGGGAGAGCGGCTGATCCGGCGGCTGTAATTTTTCTGTAAAACACTTGTGTTTTAATGCAGGAAACTCGAGCAGTTATAAAAACACCTCCACATAGACTTCTGTACCTTCTGTTTTTGTTGGCCCGGGTGCCAGCTCCTCTTCGTCAAGTGCAGACATCATTCTTGACCTCAGGCTCTCAGTTCTTCTTTTAGCTGTCCCGGCAGCAAACGTAGGTTTGGGAAAGGAAGGCAGCTTCCCGACAGTAGACTTCTTACTGAAGCAATCATCTGTACCTTGTAGGTTGTCTTTTATTCTTGGTGTACTTTGTCCACCAGGCTTATAACTGTTACCTCTGTCCATCTGTCTGCCTCCAGGGTACTGTTTAAACTCTCTTGTGCAAAAAAAGTGTACTGAGTAAGGCACCTGTGGTGCCTTTAAACATGTCCTGACTTTTAGCATAAATCTAGAGCCCATTTTAGCTGTTTGGTGTTACGACGTTTTATGAGACTCTCGTTTAGTATAGAGCATCAGAAAACTCTTACCTAAACCTCACGTACAGCTCAGTCACCACAAAACTGTCAAAATTTGTTTGTTAAATAACCTGAAAATGCCTCTTAGACTCACTGATTCAGTTCGCTGGTCAAATCTTGCAGTAAGATTGACTATTTAAAAAAATCAAATATCACTTCCTTAGTCGCACTTCTGTGATTATATTATAGTTATACATGTATAAAATCAATTACAACGATTTAAATATATAAACCGAGAGATATATCAACGTATTCTTGTTAACCGCTAAAACGCATGACAACCATGTCGCACAGTGCTTTCGTCATCAACAACAGACAGGTTCTTCTTCTTCTTCTTCTTTTTGTGGCGTTCAATGTCGGTTGGCAATAAACTGAAGGTGTGCATTACCGCCACCCACTGGTATGGAGTGTAGTTCAAGATGCATTCACTAACATTCATATCCTACTAAAATTATTGTATTTCTATATACATTTTCAAATCTATCTGTTCAAAGGAAATAT